AGCAAACTATTTACTGCTCTTCACCCAAAAACAGCTGCCTGTGGAGATCACCTCGCTGCCAGGGCTACCCCAAGGATAAGAGAGCATCCTTTATCCATTTGATATACAATGAATCTTACTTCAGTTAGGGTTGCCAGACTGAAAACTGGAGAGGGCTCCTGTATTTTTGATGGTTATGCAGAAGAAGAAGAAGAAGATGCTACTTGTAACACAACCAGGAAACAAGCATCACCTGTTGAAATTCCCTCTCCTATGGAACCATTAAGGGTACAAGAGCCTGTTTTCACTCTGGCAGTCATAATTTTGACTGAATTGAATCTTATCTCAGTTGAAGCACAGTAGCCCCTCCCAATTCGCAAGGGATCTGTTCTGGAACCCACCCACCCCTGCGAAAAATGGCAGCTTGCAAATATCCAAGCCCCATTGAAAATAATGGCGCACACGTCTGTGGCACATGCAGGGGTGTGCACGTGCACATGCCACCATTATATCCATCCCCACTTGTCACGCCTGTGAAAAGCAGGACCGCAGACTCAAAGCCTGCGAACGGGGAGGGACAACTATAGTTGAATCTTACAACTGAACCTTACTTCAAAAAGGAGAATGGAACAGTATTCTCCATTTCTCCTGAGGGTAGCAAGCCATTTTGGGGCCCAGGACTGGCTGTCTGACCTGTATAAGCCTGTCCTCTAATGGTAGGGAACTGCTAGAAGATCCAGTGCAATAGCCCCCCTCCAGCTACAGTCACCTCATTGTGCCCAATGGTAGATCTGACTCTGCTGAGTGCTCTTAAATTCCACTCTTCTTTTGCAGTTGATTCTTTTAAAGTACTGTATGTATCCAAAATTACATCTTTAAAATACATTTTGAATCTATTACCCCTATCACCAAATCTTGAAATGGTGCCCCTACTCATATGACATCTAAAGCAATCGAGCTATAGTTACAAAACTAATGTAGAGCTGTAGGACAAAATGCCTCATAATTTAGGACACCTTTCATCAGCTGATGTCTTGCAAGTCACACATTGGTAATGACCAGCTGCTGGCCTCTTTCTAATTTCCTCCTGGCATTATCTTTTGGAACCATTTCAAGTGCAATTGCTGTGTGGCATAAGGCTTTCATTGACTATGAACTTTATCTCACACAGAAAGGAATGAGGATGTAAGTGTGAGTTGCTGTGCAGATTAGACCGAGAAAGGACGTTGGGCATGCCCAGGCTTGCATTTTTCATTCTTTTGCATCATCTGATTTGGTAGTGGGTGGGTTGGTGGATTTATGTCAATATCCTTTCTCCACCAAGAGGCAATGATGATGAATTTTCCCTGGAATAGGACTCCATATCATTAATGGCAGCCTCAGAACATTCCTTATCACATAGACAATTAGTTCGTTTCCTATACACTCGTCCCTCCACATATGTGGCTTTGACTTTTGTGAATTTGATTATTCATGAATTTTACTAATATGTTCTCTCTAGGAATATCTAGATCCTCAAGCGCAACTCTATGTTCAACTTGAACCAAAAGTCGCACTGAAGGACCTAGGGATTCCTAGAGAGAACATTCTATTAGGCATTTGTAGCTCCTCCAGCACAATTCTATGGTCAGTGTCTGGCAGATGTTGACCACAGAGTTGCACTGGAGAACCTAGAGATTCCTAGAACGTTCTTTCAGGTAAAAACATAGTGTTTTAGTTATTTGCAATTTTTCCACATTCACAGCGGTCCTGTGCCCCTAACCCCAGAAAATATGGAGGGATGAGTGTAATCATGAGGAGGTAGACAGTCCCTAGTTGAGGGTATTCAACTTTTTCCATCCTGGATCTGTAAAGCAAATGCATAACCTCCAAATGTACCAGTTTGGAGACGGCAGTCTCAATTAATCCTCTGTTGTCCCACTTTTTCAGCTGCTTTTAAAATGTTCCAGTTTCTTTCCACACCTCCCCCTTTCCCCTTTGTCCTTAGCTTACTTCAATTGCTGCAAAGTGAGTTTAGAGTGCAAAACTGGTTTGCACTCAATTAGCTCAGTAGGGAGAGAGGACAGGAAGGAGTAGAATCTTGCCCTTCCCTGTAGACTCAGGCAAAAGCAAACTGTTGCAGTCTCTTCTAGCTTGTATATTCTTCCTAATAACTTTTGCCATCTTGACCTCACTCTGATGTTGCTTTATCACACATGTCCCAGTCTTCATCTGTGAAATGTTGGAGGATATGCAAATGACACTTCTGTTGGGCCATAGGTTTTTATTGGACCCCAGGTCATTAGTGGGCCTCCTTGCACCTGTGACTTAAGATGCTTCCAGAAGTAAGATTCCAGTGCCATCATGAAAAAGACATGAACATAATTGTTTCATCAGTCTCTCCTTAATTGATATTTTTGTGTGGCAAGGGAAAATATGGGGGCATGTGGGATGGATTACAAATGGAAGATGACATTGTGTAAAACTCACCCCCACTTAAAATTCAGTGAATTGGGCAGGTTGATCACATAAATAGTAAACCTGCATGTGGGGGGGGTGTCTTATTTTTAAACTCATTTCCTTTCCTTTCAGTGAGTGAGTAGGTGAGAAATTGGGTTTTCAAAAAACCATACAACTGTTTTTTACTGGCCTAATGGCTGTAATAAAATGATTTGATTTGATTTGATTTGATTTGATACAACTGTTTGGTTTTGGTTTTTTGTTTTTCTCTCCCAAACTCAAAATATTGAGAAATGCAGGGAAAGGATTAAAATCATAGATAGAATTCTAAACTTTCATTCTTGCATAGCCTTTAGAGTTGTTAAATTATGTTAACTGCAACTTGTGCAAA